ATTATTCTCATGTTAAAAACTACTATCACAAATTGATAAACTTGCTTCCTTATAATCTCGATGATCAGGCAATTCTTTTAATAAAGTTTGTGTCCGACATAGGAACAAATTGGACTCTCGTAAATTTCTTAATAATCATATGGGAATTTAAAATGGCATCCCCAGCTGTTTTAATAAATGCATCGTCAGGTCATTGGATTTATGATAACTACAAACTTAAAAACTTTTTATGGCTTAGTTGCTAAAAATAGACAGGCATCCAATTCGTAACAAATAATGATTCGGTTCATATTTAGGTTCAGAAAAAAAATAAAAGTTGGTGGTTCGGGTTCGGTTAATAAAAAAATAATAATAATATCGGTTCGGTTTAAACTTTTAAAGGGTTCGGTTAAAACCAATGCGTAATAGATGACGATACTATATAAAATATTGAGGCGGTATAAAAAAATTAAAATATTTTAAGATTTCACTATTCTGTCAAATTATATCTATTTGGAGGATCTGAGAAACACATTTTATAGGCTAACTTGGATTTCCAACAAATGCAATATACAAAATTATTCTAAAAAGTAATTTTACTGATACTTATCTGTCAGACCTGATTATTAATCATCTTTTAAAAGAGTTAAAATATCAAAAGAGGTTTAAACCGGTTCACAGTCATTTTCAGAGGTTCGGTTTAAGTTTGGGTGACAAATTCTTTGATAGGTTATAGCTCGGTTTAAGTTAGGAAAATAATAACGGTTAATACAGGTATAATTAGTAAGAAAATTTATATACAAAATAAAATAACATATTATAATAATACCTAGACTGACGATTGATTCATTAAAAGTGTACATCAATCAAGAACAGCTGGGGACGCCATGTTTGTTACCCGTATCATTATTAAAAACTTCAAACGAGAGGCCAAAGATTCCTTTTTCTGTCGCAAACTTTATTAAAGAATTGCCTGATCATCGAGATAATAAGGAAGCAAGTTACCAATTTAATAGTAGTTTTTTAACGTGAGAATAATTACCATATGGGTTTACCAAAATGGCGGATCCAGCTGATTCGTATTCAACGACGCCTTCAAACGCATTATTATGAATGCATCGTCGGTCTAGGTATTATATTATATGTCATTGACAAAATGCAATATATTATAAATTAAAAATTTGCATTTTTAAAAAAAATAAAATAATAAACAGATGTTTGAAACGCGACATTTTTGGGTAAATATTACAAATTGAATATAGATCTTACGTGATACGTGATAAAAGCGTTTTCGCCCTCTGGTTGTGTGGATACAACAGAGCTACGCTAGGTTTTCCTCAAAAATCCATCAAACTGGATAGTTAATTAAGGGGAGGAAAAAAAAATGAGAAGCCCTTCACACGTTTGTGGGCAAGCCGCACGTACTTGTACGCGCAACAGTCCGAGAACTGTTGCTTAAACGTCTATAGGCTAATCAACAAAAAGAAAATGGGCAAAACAAAAGCCTATACCCATGAACTGCCAAAATAATTTAATTACTTTAAGGGTGGGTGGTGGCTAATTTTAAGTTTAACATCTAATGTAAGCCTTGATAGTTACTAACAATAATTGAGAATGTGTTCATATCAATTGAGATTAGAATTTATTCATGAAAATAAGGAAAAGCTAAATGGGTTTACCACAAATTGTTTAAAATAGGTGAAGATTCCAGTGAATAGGCAAAAACTAGTCAGTAATGAAATAATGCATATCCAATAAATAGAATAAGGGGTCCTTAAACAAACACATTTTTAACTTCCTGTTCCTTTCCATAGTCTGAATCGTTCTGGAAGGTGCTCCTTAAACAAAGCAAAAAAAATCTAATTTTATTTACATTTTTATTAATTATACAATTATTTTTTTATTGAATAATCCTTACAAATAATAGCTAAATTAATACATCTCTCTAAATATTAAATTTTAAACATTCTCTAAAATATTATGATTTATATTTTCCTAGTGTTGTTAAATGGCTCGTTTTGAAGCCGATTTTTAAATGACTGCTGACTCAATATTTCATCCAGAAAAAATATTACGCCACCCTGAAGATTTTGCTCATAGATGGAACAAAGGGTTTATCGACAGAGTTGTTAAAAGATACTTTTTAAATGGATCTAGATACAGATACATTGTCTAAAACAATATATAGATACAGATATTTTAATCAAAAATCTATCTAGTTACAGATACAGATACCACATTTTTATATCTAGATCCTTTAACATAGACAATCTTTTTCCCGCTAAAATCTTGAGTGAGCCGTTTAACAACGCTAATATTTTCGCTGTGGAATTAATAAAAATTTGAGCGCCGAAACGTTCCTCAAACACTAACTAGGTTAGTGAAATTAATTTAGAAAATTTAAAAACTTTTAATCGACAAAAATTATTAATCTTACGAGAACAGAAATAATTTTAAATTTAATTTTTATTTTTTTTTATAAAATATTGAAAGTAGAAGAAAGCAAAATTTATAAATAAATTTACGTGATAAAATTAAATAAAATATTAATTATTATTTATTTATTTTTGGAATGTTCCGAACCGTTCCACGAACGTTTAAGGAATTACAGTTACATTCCGCTAACGATTCTATTTCCGTCCGTTACATTTCCGGAAATATAATATATTTTAATAGGTGGTAATTTGTGTGGTCGGAAATATTTATGCTAATTTTTGAGTTTAGCTCAATATTGACAATTATCTGATTTGTATAAGCTCATACCTGATATTCATGTTGGGCAAGATCTATAAATAGAAACAATATATATATATATGTGAGAAATGGCACATTAATTCCACTAGGTAATTCAAATTGCGTGATGTATGGAATATTATGGAAAATTTACTCCATTTTGTTTCACCCATTCCGAAATCTAAATTTTTAATCATTGGAAATATATATTATAATTTATCTAAGAAAGTATATATTCTTTTTAAAATTTAAAATTAAAACTTTCAACCTTCCTAACTATACTTTCAGTTTTATCTAGGATTTATTGCATTGCCAAAATAAAAAGCTCCATTTTGGAAAATATTGCTCTAAAAATATTTTAATTTTATTGTTAACAGCTGATTGCTTTTTTAAAATAATATTAATTATATCTTTAATTCTATACATGATAATAACCTAAGAAATATTGGTTTTAATAAAAAAAAATTGATTCTTATAAACCGATTTAAAAATCGATCAGCTGTTAAATAGTGTTGGATCGGATCCCACCGCGTAATCGCTTAGCCAATTGAAAATATTTATTTAATCGAAATTCAAAAGTATTCATATGTGAGATTTATTAAATGAATGTAATTTAAAGCCCTAATTTTTTATAAATCAAAAAAAAAAAAAGGAGGCAGAAATGAAAAATAAAAATTAATAAATTTAAAAGTTAAAAAAAATAAGAAATAGTTTTTCTTAAAGAAAATGAATGTGCATGAATCAGGGTTGTGCATTTGACCTGTCAAATACGATTCGGTCAATTGACCGACATGTCAACCCGGATATTAAGTTAAACTTTTTAAAAAAATAATAGAAATCAAGCTAATATATTGTGTTAAAAAAAATATAAGACAGATTTTTAAAAAAATTTATAAAATTTTGAGCGAACGAGAACACGTTCCTTTTTTTTGGAAGTGGCGAATGTGTTCGATTTTTTTTGGAAATGTTTACATCACTAGGAATCATAAATAAATAGATATCACATAAATGTGAAATATTGGATAACTGAGAACAAATATATTCTCCAACATTCTCATTTTAACGGTTTAAACATTGATTTATCTTTTCTTGTTATTATAACCCATTCTAGAAAAAAAATATCTCTAGCTGTTTTGAATGGCAACTTTAAATATCCATTAAATAATAATGTAAATTTTTTAAAAATAAATATATTTTAAATGAAAATGTTTTTCAAGTTTTATTAAAATATAAAATTAATTATTTAAGGATATAAAAATTTTATAAGTGAAAAAAGTGGTTTATAAATACACGCGAACCAGTTTGGAATATACAGGGTCAAAATAACTGGAGAAAGGCGAAGGGATTTGAGGAATTTCTCCTCTATTAAATTTCTCCCCTCCAGAAAAATTGCATTTTTTGTCATTTATACACTAAGTGAATATTAATTTAAATTATATATTACATAAATTAACCTTAATATTACAAAAATTATTATTAATATTATAATTTATACAAATTATTTATATTTAAATATTTTTTTTGCTTTATTTATATAATAATCTGCTCGCTCATAAGAGAAATGATTAAAATATGCAATATCCGGATGATCCTATCGAAATGTGCGATTTCTGATTAAAATACCAAAAATACTAGCCTCTTACCCTTGCCCCTCGAGGAAAATTTTTAGTTACTGCACTAGGAGCAAAAAAATAGACGGACATCCCAGCCAAAAAATTCTTTATATCTTAAAATCCATTCATTAAAATTAAGGAAACTTTATGGTTTCGCATACAATAGTAGGCTACCAAAAAGACCATATCAAAATAGCAACATGCATTTTTCTAGCTACAACTTAAGTTGCTATGTCCAGTAAACCATTCAAGGTTTAAGAATTGGAGATAAATGACTCCCCCTCCCCCCCCCCCCCACTGCTCACTCAGGCGCTACTCCTATAACAAATCAAATTGGCCTGAATATTTTACAAATTCACATATATGAGCTTAGGTTTATATAATAATAGGATATATATCACTAACATTTTATTTAATTCAACAAATAATTTATACTACACATTTGACAACTTGGTCATGGTATAGTGCTTTTTAGAAAAATATTTTATCTATAAATTTTAAGATAGGAATAAACGTTAAAGATATAACAATGGTTACATTTTAAAATAAAATCAGACTACTTTGATATGATTGTTTTATATGAATCAATATCATATTTGTATAAAAGCATTATAAATTAAAATCTATAGTGTAATCATTATGATTACCATTCATTCATTCTAAAAATCTAATTTTTTAAAAAAAACCTAACAATAGAATCTTAAGAAATAAATGACATATTGACGTATCCCTAATGATGAAAAGTGTAGTATGGAAACATTTCGATATAAGTCCCATGGATGAAACTAAAGCAATATGCCGAATATGTACCACAATCATATCACGAGGCTCGAAATTTTCAACATCAGCTCTTCTAAATCATTTGAGGACCAAACATAATCTTGAACTCAAAACTTGGGAAGTAAAGATCACCTATTTTATATGAAATTTAATATTTTTTGATTAAATTACATCAATTTACTATAAAATATGGGAATATAATTTAATATTTATTTAATCTGCATAAAATAATGTGAGATGTGATATTCTATTTAAAGTTTGAATGTGATTTTTTAAACTGCCTTGATTTCTAATTATACTTACCTTTGCTTTATGTCAGAAATTATTCTGATCTAATTTTTTTAATATTTTATAATAAACAACTGGATCTGTTATAACCAGATATCAGAGCCTATAAAAAATCATCAAAATAAAATCCTAGTGATTTGGGGTTTTATAATTAATCACTCAATACGATTATCTGAAAATAAATGTTATTCATAAGATTAAATTAAAAAAATTTTTTTTATATAATTATCTCTTATTTTTATATAGAAATGAATAATATTGTTCAATATAAATTTACATAATTATCAATATAGAAAATTAAATTTGTCTCACATACATTTTAAATAAATTCTGATGAATCTTTTTAGAACCAGAACCTAAAAAAAATCTGAAATAAAACTTTAAATCACCTATAATTAAATTAAAACATAAAATTATTTTCAATTTTATGAACATGTTCACTTATTTAATTAATTTCTAATAATAAATATGCTGATGTTTAATATTGGATTAGATTACGGTGAATACCTAGTATTTTTAAAAATATCTGCCAATATTTTCCTATATTAATATTAGTTTTGAATATTTTATGATTATATATATTATTATTTATTTTATTCATAATTTAATAATAATAAATTAACAATATGGTATTAAATGTATCTGCCACAAGAAATTTTTAAAGTATCAAGCAAGTCACATTCAGTTTAGTGTTGAAATTTATTGACCAAATTTTTGGCAAAATTTTTAATTTAACCTTAAAAATTGCCCACATTGTTTTAAAATGAGATTATAGAATTCATGAAAGTCAGCTGATTTTTTTTGTATGACATTGATTTATAGATAGATGGTAAATAAATACTGCTTTCGGTTATTGGAATCAGTTATGTGATAATATCGAAGTGGGTTGGTGAAAAATTTAGGGATGGGCACAGTCCTATATCTAATGGATGCCTAAACAAAATGGAGTCTGTCTGCCTACTCGAATATTTATTATTAGATATGCCCTCTGAAGTAATAATTCTAAATGTTAGATTCCTATTTCAGGCATATTCCGATTTGATTTTATATATAACAAATTTATTGGCTCCCTATTTACTGTTAGTTGGTTGAACATATTGATTAATTGAATACTAAGGCTGAGACACCTGGGTTGCCTTTCCTCTGATATTCCACTATTTTAAATATAAATCATAAAAAATAACTTTTATCCCTTACCAAAAGTAGCTGGATTTTATATTTTAAAAGTACAATAAAAATTATTTGTCCTTTCATATTCTGTTATAAAAAGAATATTTGTTTTTTAACCCCCCCCCCCTTCATAACCTCTTCCTTTCTCCCTGAGATCATTTGATTCTTGAAATAATTTGATAAAAGAGTATTTTAGATTTTTCGTAATAAAATGATATTTTTAGAGAAGAGGAAGAAAAAAAAACATCAGTTAAGTTAGAACCGCGTAAAATCGAAATAGATTTCTATTCGCTCAGTTTTAAAACGATTATCGGATAACGCACTTCGATTTTCGAATTGCGAATATTCGAATTATTTTAGATTCGAATCAATTTTTTGAAAAAGAATAATATTCGACGATTAAAAGAACGACAATTCGAATTATTCTAAAAATAACATAAATTTAAATTGTCAATATTTAAATATTTATAAAATAATTTTTCTATAAAAAGACAAGATAATTTAACCCTCCTCCGAACACAATATTTGATTTTGTGAACGGTTAGCTAAACGTGATTTTCTTAAAGTATCAAATATGTGTTTGTACGTTAAGTTGGAAATTGAATTCCAGCACCACAAAACCATTGAAACTATGATGCCTTAATTTATATTGTGACATTTCATTAATGGCGAAACGGTCTGAAATCAATAGGTTGTATAGGTGGTTGTCTAATGTAACTTCTAATTCATTTCCTGGTCAAATTAGGAAATTTTTCAAATTTAAATAATGGGCCCCATCTAAATTATTTAAAATAGAGGAATTCCAAATCATCGCGAGGTTCCCAGATTAATCCCAATATCCCGCCTAGACTTGCCACGTATTATGAGGCAATGTCAATCATTTACCCTTTTCACAAATTATACAATTCTCTTTGACAATGAGAAGTCGAAACATTTCTAGTCTCTCACAACTTCAATTCAATTTTAAACCGGAAAATGTCATGTTCGTCGACACATTTTTAAAATAAAAAAAGCGCGCTTATTTTCCTTTAAAATTATTCGAATCGACTAAGATAAACGGACCGAATAGTTCGAGTATTCGTTTTTGAGATTTCGATTTTGTGTTTGGCGCGAATAATAATTTCCCGGTTAAATTTTATATTTTAAAGTGGTAAAGGGTAGGTTTCTTCTTAATCGAATTATTCTCCCCTCACTAGAGTCGTTGTTTTTTCCGGTTCGGTCTAGGTAATTATACGCTGTAAGAAGTCCAATTTCTTAAGTATTCATTCATCTCTAGGGTCGATTAAAAGGAGAAAAGAAAAAAAAAGAATACATTTAAAAAAAGAGAAATGCAAATAAAAACCGATAAATACCATTTTTAGCCGTCCATTTTGAAAAATTACACGTATAAAAAACCGATATTACCATTTTTAGCCGTCCATTTTGAAATATTATTACTTATAAAAAACCGATAAATACTATACACGAAAAAAAACCGATAAACACCATTTTTAAACGTCCATTTTGAAATATTTATATACGTAAATTTTTTTCTAAAAATTTGGAAGAAAAATTCCACCCCTCAGCCATAAAAATTTTTCGGATTTCGAAAATAATACAAGAGCGAATATATTCATTTGTATTATTTTTCTTTCTTTTTTTTAAAAAAAATAAGAAATTTATAAATTGTAAAAACGAAAAAACGAAAAAAAAAAATTTCGTTATCGATTTTTTTCAACAAATCAAAAACTTGTTATTCGTTATTTTTTTTTTTACATCCGCTTGGAATATCGATTTTCCGTTTGTTGATGTTTTTTAAATTTTTTTTTTTTTACTCTTAGCCATTTTCTGTTTTGTTTTGTTGTACATTATTAGCGAGATTATACGAAACGAATAAATAAGCGACGCTAATTCAAAAATTTAAAACGCGTGTACATATAAGATACCCGCGTCGCGTTCTTAAGATCAAATCGGCCGCCAGAAAATGAGGGCGATTTTTGACCGCGTTTGAAAAGGCGCGTATTTTTTTTTTTTTAAATCTCGGTTTTAAATGGAATTTTGGAATACTAACCCCCCCCCCCCCCTCGAAAATCGAAAATTTTCTAAAGGCGCTGCATACTTAGAATCGGTATAGCTATGGGGTATATATTAACCCTTTATTTTTTGGTAAGCAACCCAAAGAATTCTTCTACAGAAAAGTAAATTATTTTAAAAAAATTTATATATACATATTCAGTGTTGAAGTATTCTCGGAAAGATGCGCTCTATAAATGCTAAAACCCATCCCCGTTTTACTACTTACGTTTAAATAATTTTAAATAATTATTTTGTTGTTAAAATTTTGAGAATTAAAAAATTCTATATAGATGGCGCTACGAGTTTAAATTATATTTGAAGGGGGGGGGGTGAGGGGGAGACAATTTAAATAACGAATGCATACAATGGTAACGATATTACCATCGTGATTACATATGCAAAAAATAATCAAAAATAGTAAAATTAATAAAAAATAAAATAGGTAAAAGGATTTTACATAAGATGAACTCACAATTAGGAGAGGGGGGGATAGATCAATAAATTTTGAGCATATGTTTTTATAATGCCTGTCACTTAAAATTGTCAGAATGAGTTATCAACTTAAACAGCTGTTGGTGGGAATAATTCGAGATTTCGGTTGGCAGGATGGTCGCATACGGGGCAAACCGTTTTAGTATACGAAGAAACGTGTAAATTTTCCGCACCCCGTGGCGACCATCACTCTCATTATTTTTATTCGAAACGGTACGGTTGCTCCATTTAAAACAGATGATCGTAGCGGTAGATTCTAAATAACTTTCGATAAATACGCGTTCACTATATTCCTATAGGGAATTTAACGGGGTTCTAGGCGTGCCCTGGAACTATCGAATGTTCCATTTTGGGGCTAAAATTTACGACCTATTTATGTATTATCGCAAAAGTTCCACTTATTTTAAAGAGTCTGAGTTAAAGCAACTGTCGATTTTGCATGGAATGACTCATTCAGCTTGATCTTTTCATCGAGCACAGAAAAACTGTTTTAGAAGAGGTTTTAGGATAATCTAAAGAACAGCCGTGAAACTTTTATCAAGTCACGTGGTATACTTTTGTGGGGAGATAATTTATCGAGATGCTGTGGTTTTATTTTTACGAAGGGCATATGTATCTTAATGCATCATGGCTTTCATAAAGAACGAAAGAAAGAAAGAACGAAAGAAAAGAAAAGAGTGTTGAGAATTTTATAAAACTTTATAAATAACTCGTAAAATAATTTATACCATTTTTTTTCTTCTTCCACCTAGTCTTCGGATTCGGATTGTTTAGACGGCACTAATTTCGCCAACGGTTACCGTTACCCGGTTCTCATCCAATCCGACGATGGTTCCGGATCGAATAAACCATCCCGTAGGCCAGGCCCTTGCGAGGCGGTGTTCTCTGGTAAAACGGAGCTGGGCGGGGCCCTCAAGGCTCGCGATCCGCGTCTCGGTCTCATCGCCCGCGGCGGGAATACCAAGAGGTGGTGATAATATATATATATTTTTTTTAAATATCTTTTCGGGGAGAGTTTTTGAATATTTTTTCGAAATGCTGACCCGAGTTTCGATTATTGGAAGCACTTCCGGTTCCTAGAAATTAGTATTCTATGAGATTTTCGTTCAAGTTCTTTGATTTATTCACAGTTAATATATAACTCGCATAAATAAGTAAAGCCTGCCTAATTTGGGCAACTCCTCAATTTGTCTTATAATATATATTAATTAATTATTATTTGTAATTATGGCTTCCATATAAAAATTTGGCGCGTTACTAATTAATTACTTTTTTGAAAAATGTATTTGAATTCCTTCTTTCTTCCCTGAACTAGATTGCCACATGGATGGATGGCAACAAATGTAAGGAATATATATTATAGGCATATTCGACAACGAATCGAGTAAGAATTCATCCGCATTCAATTTTTTTAAACGGATCGAATAAATTACTATTCGTGATTATTCGAATCGGATACGAAGAATTTATTGTTCGATCCATATTTGTTTTTCGAATAGGCCTATCAACATTTAGCATTCTATCCGGCAAAAGTATCGTTCCCCGGACTTTGAAAAGTATCTTTATTTAAAATTGATTGCACAATGCAAGTTATAATTGAAACAATTTCAAATCGTTCAAAAATGGTAAATTTATCTATCCATTTCCGGTCATTGATAAGGTAGACTTGTTTAATTCGAGCGAGAATAACTCGTCCCTACTGCGTTACTGTTATGGTTTATTCATTCCATCATTTTTTAAAAAAAAATTTTTTTATATTTAATTATTAAAAGCCCGGTGTGGCGTACGTTTAGGGTGGTCACGTTCGAGGGCAAAAGGACCAATCACATCGCTTGCCACACGTGCTTGCAGGTCTATAGATACGATTCTCATCACATGGGAACTTCCAACCTTTATCGGCATAAGTGCATCCTCCTGAATTGCGAGAATTCGCAAGAGGAAGGCGAATACGCCAATGGCATAACTGGTAGTTTTTTATGACTCGAATTTTTTTTCAGGACTTTTTATTTTGTAGTAATCAAAATTAAACTCAAAATTTATTTCACGACGTAAAACGTCGAACATCAATCTAAATCAAATATCATAAAGCTTGCAAACAACGATTTACAGAGTTATTATAGGGGGGAGGGGGTTCAAATAGTGAAGGTCAGCCAAACCTGACCGCTCCATGAACCGAAAAAAATTGCTAAAAAACTGTCGAGACCGGGATAGTTGGATTCTATGTGGTTTCTAAACTAGTTCTAAATGTAGCCAACCTTTTGGATTATGGAGCTGTTAGAAATCGTTCAGGAATCACCTTCACTAGGGTCAAATATTAGGAGCTTTAATTAATTAGGATTTGTCCCTAAATATAGAATAAATTCGAAATCGATATCATTATCATAATTACAAGAAGGAATATCGATTGAAGGAATTAATATTTAGCATTCAGCATTTTTCATTGTAAATTATTATTTCTTTGTAAAGAAAGAAAGTAAGAAAGAAAGAAAGAAAGAAAAGAAATAAAGAAAGAAAAAAAAAAGAAAAGACTTACTTTACATAATTTAAATTTAAAAGATATTCATAAATTCCTAAGTAATACACTTTGGATTATATTTATCATTTTTTTTTAATAATTCTAATTTTATGAATCTTAGTTGATGAAGATCAAGATTTGATGGATGCTTCCTACCATGACCACCCCTTCAACGAATCTAATCTCAATTCTCAAGATTCTTTCTTCGACGATAAACAAGGTTCACTTATATAAAATACTCAAAATAGTTACTTTTATTGAGCCCCCCTTCGCCCTCCCGCCATTTTTTTTGGGTGTATTTGAGTTAGAATGAAAAGGATACATCTGCTAGGCGTACAGCTTTAGGAATATCATTTTTGAATTCTCTAACTTAACCTTGACTGGCATCGATCAATCAAATCTTTCGAGTTGAAATGAGCCAGCTAGGCTAAGTACATGTCAGTTCCTTTCTACCGGTTAGTGAGTGAGTGTTATAATAAACCCCCCATAACTCCTACTACTTTCAACCTGTCGTTAATAGATCTTTAACCGAAAAGTAATTTTAAGCGACTTTCCATTTTTTAAAAGTATTTTCGGTGTTTTGCGAATATATTATCGAAAAACCGCCTTCTACATTCTATTTAATTTACCGGTGGGCCAATCATAAGTAGGGATGAAGAAATCTCCCCCAATTTTTAGCCATTTAATAAAGACTCATTTGAAACGGTATTTATTACCACCTTCCCTAAAATCTATCAATCATATTTTAGATAATTTTTTCGTGATATAGAAATATTCCCAAGCCAAAGTTCTAACTCTGGGAAGGATTGATTCTGTTTAATAAGACGATGATTTTTTTATTATTAAATTTTAGTCCTATAGTTCTTTTTTAGATGGAAATATTAGTTAATCTCTTAGGTTTAGGATTTAATATTCAGCGTTTTCTCTGTTAACTCAAATATATTATTTTAACGTGGAAACACTATCACTTTGAACGCTACAGTCAGGACGCGGCCTTAAGTGACTATCGAAATATCGCATAGAGCTGCACCGATATTAATATCAACGTTGATACCTAACTTTTGATAGAAAACGTCAGATCTAAGCTAATCTAAAAGTGTGTTTTGATTGTGTTTTTTTGAGCGCTTATTAGCAGTTAAAAAACTCATTTTTATTAACTTTTATTTTGATGAAAGATTTAATATATATATATATATAAAAATAAAGTATTTTTATGAAAATATTTAGACCTTTTTTTTTTGACACGCTTATCAATGAGGCGTTTGTGTCAATCACGATCGATATTTCTAGTCATTCGGATCTATTTTGCTATTTTTCCTTTGCATTTTTTTTTAGGCATCCCTAAGTCTGGCCTAGTTCTACATTTTTTTTTACCGCAAGTGGTATTTATCTTAAGATTAAGACTAAGGTCCCTAATTGGAAATTTATTAGACTTCGAGCGAATCGCAACATATTTTCAAATTTCTTACCGAAAGCACTAACAGTGATAAGCCTGCATCTTCGAAGTAATTTTATAACTTTACAAAATATTACGGATTCATCGAAATTAATATAACTGCCGAACAGACGATAAAATATTTAATGTGCGAACGCGTAAAAATATCCCAAATATTTATATTTTTTTTGAAAACGATATTTCCCAACCGATCTTTGACTCGCTATCTTTTAACGTTTTATGCCCTTAAACGCTTTAGTATGGCCTTAGCCCTAAAAAATATATTTGTGACCTTAATTTTGGAGCGGTAAATTCCCTCTCATTTTTAATATAATGCTGTCCAATGTAAAAACGGTATGGGATGAGTGGCATGTAATAATAATATGGTCTAATGTAAAAACTAAGTGGTCTAAATTGCTATGTTCGCACACTGGCCATCATCGATTAACACTGACTCTATTAGATCAATTTTTCAAAATTTGTCAAAATTGATATTGAATTAAAAACGATCCACAAATATAAATATATTTTATTATTTTTTAAAAAAAAAATTTATTTAGTCCACTTTCTAGGAAAATTACGTTTTACACTTCTTTTTTGGTTGGCGGAAAAATTTCTCATTTAAGTTACTGATATTATGTATAAATATTAGGCGTTTAGCGTTATTCGCACAAATTTTTTTTTAGGGATTATATACTTATTAAAGGCACTCAATAATAATGGACAAGTGAGTATTGCTTGGCCAAGTGTTGAGTGGCCCATATTCGCGATATAAATCTTTCATACAAATTTCACAGTATCAGTGTCGATTAAATTTAATATTCCTAGGACAACTTTTAGAGCGATAAAGAAACGCAAAAAAGATCTCGCGGTTATTATACAGGACGGAATTCAAATAGATTAATATTCACCAAACCTCAAGAGGGAATTTGAAAAGATTATATAATACAAGCTGTCAAATCATTTATGTGGTTTAAGCATAAAGTAGTTGGAACTTTTAAATATAAAACATTTTTTTGACGATATTAATTATATTGTTAGAATTACTTGTTAGATAAGTTAGTTTTCAATAGATTTTTTTATGTAAACTTTTATATTCATTTTCATTGTGTAAATCATTTATTTTTAGCAAAAAATATGAGTTTTTCCCTAAATCTAATGAAGGATCTGCATTTATTTGCAAGAGAGGAATATTCAAAAGAACGAGAAAAGAGGAAAGATTAAATGCAGGCATCGTGAAGATTGGACTTATGCTCAATATGCCGTTAAGTTTAAGCATCACGAACTTTTAAATTGATGAAGGATCGAAATAAACATTGCAATGTTGTGGACGACTAAGAAGACACCAGGCCAGAAGAGGAGGGGTCTGAAGAAACTTGTAATAATCGTCAAATAAAGGGGTGGTTAATTTTATATTGAAATTTAGCCATCTTTAAACTATATAATCATTATAAATCGAGATATAATTTATAGGTTTTTTAAATATATATTTTTTTTAAAAAAATGAAGAAATATTATTGAAAATTATAGTATATTTTACAATAAATATGGCATTTGGAGCATAAGCCCATTTTTCACGATGCCTGCATTTAATCTTACCCCCACCCCCTTTTTTTTGCTCTTTTGTTCCTGCTGGCATACATTGCACAGGCAGCCCCACATTTTATCTTTATTATATTCCGTATTCATAACAAAATCTTTAAAATAATGTATTTAGCGCTGGCCGGTTAATACCTTCGAATAGATTCGTCTAATCTCGAAAATTATTGATAGATAGAGCTTTGATTCATAATTGTATTTTAAAAGAAAATAAAGGTTTTGGGGCTACCATTGATATTAAATTTATTTGAAGAAAGGCGAAATCCGTGTCAATCATGCCACTTCACCCCTAATTCCCCCCCCCCCCCTGTTTATGTCATAAATAGCTAGAGTGAATTTAATATAACTTGGATATTTGCTTCCTTGCGTAATCGCGGCCTGGAAAATGGCAAGATTATTTGAAATGGCTTTTTATCGCGCGGAAAAAAAGGTGTCTAGGACAGGGCCTAAGCTCATTCTTTTAAAAAACTCGGAGTAATAAACATAATAATTATATAAACGAAGGGTGTAATTTAATATTTACCTTAAGGTTAAAAAAAACATTTCAAACACAAAAAAACAATGTTTTTTTAAAAACAAAAAAATATTTGTTATTTTAAACACAAAAAAACATTTGTTTTTTTTAAACACAAATAAAAACAATTATACTCAAGTGCCTTATTGTTATTTATATATAGTAAATAAACAATTGGTTAATGGGTTATTATTTATTGGACGTTGAATTTTATTGTAAACATCATTTTATAAATTTATTTATGGCTTTTAATTTTATTTATTTTTTTTTATGAAATAATCAATTTTTAACTTTTAAATATTTTTACAAATCGCGAAAATAAAATTTAAATAAATATTTATATTAAAAAACTTATATAATTTTTTAAAAAAAATGTCAATCATTTGGAATTTCTTTACGGTGGAAGAAAATAAGGAAAGTTTCGCGAAATGTACGCTCTGCGATTCGCTCGTTTCGAGGGGTGGGACAGCGAGAAAATCATTTAACACTACCAATTTGAGAAAACATCTGGCAAGGTATCACTCAAAATCATTCGAAGAGCTACGAGTAAGGGAAGACGGGACGAAATTGAATCACATGAAAACCGACATTTGCCAAGAATTTTCTATTAAAATAAGCGATATAATTTTGGACCGGAAGGATATTCCCAATTATTCCACCAAAGATTTACTATGGGCATCAAGTTCTGGCGACTTTTCCCCGATTGGTTTTTTATTTTTTTCTCACAAATTATGATATATTGAGCGTTAAGGGCCACGTAAGACCACCCTATTTTGGTTTATTTATTTAAGTATTTTATAGCCTTGCTATTTTTCGTATTTTATTCTCTTTTTTTGTGTTTTTTTTGGTTGTTTTTTTTTGACTATTTAGTCGATACTTAAAAGTCGGCTAAATTAGCCGGCTATTAAGTATTAAGCCGACCTAAGGACAACGCCCAAACCCTTGGTAGGTTTTAGGGTGGGGAATACATCTACAGAGCCTTTCTTGAAGGTTGTTTTTGTTACCCATCTTTACATTCATTCATACCCTAAAATCATCAGTGTGCGAACAGAATAAATGTAAATTAAAGGTACAATAAAATTTATTGTGTAAACCGGCAATCTACGCAAATTTCGGTTAACGGATAAGCTTTTTTTTATCCCCAAAAGAAATCCGGTTTATTTAGCGTCGGACACTTTTTATCGATATCGGTATCGGCGTTTAGGCCCTTAAAAATATTTATTTATTAATCATATTTATACATTAGGTATAAACAAACAGGAAATACTATTATTTTGGGTTCGTTATCCGATAATGAACGAATGTTCTTTTTTTCCCCCATCGATTTAGATGCCCCTCATCAATTAGTGGCCAGTCCCTCGCAAATCAGTCCGCTTTCCGAGTTGGACTACGCCCTCGGCTCTTCCCGGTTATCCGGCAAATCCAATTTGAATGGTAAACTAATTATTTCGATGTTACGCATTACATTATTTTTATTTATCCTCTCCAAAAATAGGAATTTTGAAATTCTGAATTAACAGGTGATCGGTTCCTTTAGAATTTGATCCCCCATCACTATATTCTGGTTTCCAAATAAAAAAATAAACCCACCCCGTAATAAAAACGGATAACCAATATTTGCCGCTATCCACGGGAAGTTCCTAATTTCGGCGATTCCTTAACCGGGGCAATGTGGGCTAAGAGATAAAAAACAATGGCTATTCTTAATGAAGCGTGAAAATTTTATGCAAATGATAATGAATTTTTTGTTATATAAACGAATACAGGGCACGATAAATATTTCAAATCCCATCCCAAATTCAATTCCACGCAAATATCCGAAAATATCGCTTTCGCCGATCCGACTCAATCGAACCAAGAAAGCGTTAAAGTTGAATGTAAATTAATTTATTTTTTAAAAAATAAATATGATAAGCTAAAACAAATATCAAAAAAAATGTGACATTTTGAATCGTATGAGCTTATTAAGAAGACATGGTGACAGATTTCTTAATCAAATATGCTATTCATTATTTACAAAAGAATATTATATTTTTTTTATTAAAAAACATCAAACCATTTTAAAATTGCATAAAAACAAAATTAGCAACGACCTTCAAATATAAATATAATATGAACGGCGTAAAAATACGGTTGAAAAAAAAAATAAAATTTCTATTATTTTTTTTGAGGGCAACATATGATTAATTATTCGATCCGGTTAACCTCGAGGGGTATCTGATTTGGATCCTTTTTTTTTCTTCTTCTAAAAGCTTTTTTTTATTATAGAGTGTGCTCTGTTTCCCAAAAAGTTCCAGTGGTAAAGATGACTGTAAAAATCGAGAGAATATTCTGCAGAGAAATGCCTATATTAGTGTACTCTGTTTCCCAAAAAGTTCCAGTGGTAAAGATGACTGTAAAAATCGAGAGAATATTCTGCAGAGAAATGCCTATATTTCTCTTTGAAATCTTTAAGGGCGGATATTTCGTTCAAGAGTTTTTACACGTGAATTGTTATGCTAAAGGGGGTGGGGAAAAATTTTGTAACATAAATTATATGAAAATATAATAATTTAAAATTACGATTCGTGAAAAATAGTTGTTTCTTTCAAATGACATATATTATTACTAATCAGTCAATACAAATCAGCCGGTGAAACCCCCTTCCCCCCCCCCCCCAATTTTTGGGGGTATAAATTATTATTTTTGAAAGAAATTCATAAAAATTCTTTTACGTAAAACCCAAGAGAATAGCTTATAGCCAGCTGCTGATTTATGTATTTAGCTACTTTTCCAAAAAAAGTGAATGTATCGTCACTCTAGAGTATTGTATGTTATCGGCCTCTTTATGAGGTGCCATAGGGGTAGGGTTACCAGATGTCTTCCTTTGAGATGGCATGATGACATGTCCTATTTTGAGATGACATGTCAACAAAAATTTATTAATATTAGAGTGAATTTTTATTTTTAAAAAAAAATCAATTCATTCTGGTTACTTTTTTTTCTTCTTCTAAACTTAATTCCTATTTTTAAAATCTTATTCTGTATTAATTTTTTTTAACTTTTTAATGCAAAAACAATTGTACTTTTCTTTCGACAATAAATAATCACCTATTTTCATAAATAATGTTGGAATTTTTTGTATTGTAAATTTATGAGTACGTTTAAAATCGAAAAATAAGGGAAAACATTTAAGGCACATGTTTGCTTTCGATGCTTATACATACGTATATAGCATTATCCTAAAAAATATTTTGATTTGACCGATAACCGACCGGTAACCGACCCAATGACTAAGCACCGGCGTTGCTGGCGTTATCCGTGAAAAAAAAATCTTCATTTTTGGGTTTTTATACGCGTATATCTGTGTTGAGCATTATTCCTAAAAAATATTTTGATATGAACGATTGCCTAATTGAGAAATGTTCATTTTTATTTTTATAAAATCTAATAAATATACGTGTTAAACATTATCCTCCCCCACCCCCCAAAAAAAATATATTTTAAAAATATCGTGATTTGACCGATAACCGACTCTTAACCGAATAAAATTATTTGTTTATTATTATTACCTTTGCGTACTTTTCACTAAATTTTTTTTTTATTTTTTGGAAAATTTTAAATTTTAACGAAATCGGAACTTAGCTGGCGCTTAGCCGGGAATTTTCTACCGGGGGGGGGAGGGTGAGAGATGTTTTGTGTATAATTCCGTATTAAAATTAACCGAAGATCCTACCCTATTAAATTTGTTTAAACGATTTATATTATTTGGAGCGACCAATAGAGATCTGCGAAAGTAGCCCAACCCGAACCCGGCCCGAAGCCTAATATTTTTTAAGAAAATTCGGGCCGGACCGGGTCGGGTCTTAGAAATCTCAAATTCGGGCCGGGTCGGGTCTTAGAAATCTCAAATTCGGGCCGTCGGGTCTAAGAAATCTCAAATTCGGGCCGGGTCGGGTTTGAAAAATTAGACCCGATGCGGATAACATACTACCGAAAAGCTGGCATCAGATATCACGATACCCCTTAGAATAATAACTTGATATACGAGATCAAATCAGGTATTTGATTAAGTCTGTTAAATATATTATTACTATCGTTAATTAATACATTTTTAATTTTATCTATATCATTTTCAAATCCATTCAATATCTTACAACAACAACAATCCGGAAGCGTGAAGATATTGCTTAAAATGTAAACCCTTGCGGTAAGACTCTAAATATGAAATCTGGGTATTATTTTATTCATTCCAGCTTTATACCGGCATATTTTAATTTTTGGTAAAATATAATGATTCAATAAATTTTACCAATGGAGCACTTATATGTGTAATAAACCCTTGCGGTAAGACTCTAAATATGAAATCTGGGTATTATTTTATTTATTCCGGCTTTATACCGGCATATTTTAATTTTTGGTAAAATATAATGATTCAATAAATTTTACCAATGGAGCACTTATATGTGTAATAAACCCTTGCGGTAAGACTCTAAATATGAAATCTGGGTATTATTTTATTTATTCCGGCTTTATACCGGCATATTTTAATTTTTGGTAAAATATAATGATTCAATAAATTTTACCAATGGAGCACTTATATGTGTAATAAACCCTTGCGGTAAGACTCTAAATATGAAATCTGGGTATTATTTTATTCATTCCAGCTTTATACCGGCATATTTTAATTTTTGGTAAAATATAATGATTCAATAAATTTTACCAATGGAGCACTTATATGTGTAATAAACCCTTGCGGTAAGACTCTAAATATGAAATCTGGGTATTATTTTATTTATTCCGGCTTTATACCGGCATATTTTAATTTTTGGTAAAATATAATGATTCAATAAATTTTACCAATGGAGCACTTATATGTGTAATAAACCCTTGCGGTAAGACTCTAAATATGAAATCTGGGTATTATTTTATTCATTCCGGCTTTATACCGGCATATTTTAATTTTTGGTAAAATATAATGATTCAATAAATTTTACCAATGGAGCACTTATATGTGTAATAAACCCTTGCGGTAAGACTCTAAATATGAAATCTGGGTATTATTTTATTCATTCCGGCTTTATACCGGCATATTTTAATTTTTGGTAAAATATAATGATTCAATAAATTTTACCAATGGAGCACTTATATGTGTAATAAACCCTTGCGGTAAGACTCTAAATATGAAATCTGGGTATTATTTTATTCATTCCGGCTTTATACCGGCATATTTTAATTTTTGGTAAAATATAATGATTCAATAAATTTTACCAATGGAGCACTTATATGTGTAATAAATGTAAGAAGGCCCAAGAATTCTGCAAATTAAATATTTTATTTCTTTCCGAATTTTACAACGACATAAAAAAATAGTAATCAATAAACGCCGATTTTTTGCAAAATATAATATATTTCTCTTTTAATATTATTATTTTTTTTTATCAATTATTTCTTATATAATAGATAAATATTTATTATAATACAACAATATTAAACCAGGATTTGTTGAATGTTGCTTTATTACGAGTAAATTTTGCTCTGCGAAGTTTGGGAATAATGGGGAAAAAAAACATCCTAAACAATATTATATTAGAATATAAATCATTAATTTAACCCCTTTCCCGAGAACTGATTTAGCAGCTGCCTCAGAGTCTGTTTGGCCGAATTTAGGAGTAAAGGATATCTGGCGTTAGGCACCAAAATTAATAATTTGAAAAAGTTTGATATATGTGTCCCTTGTTTTATTCGGAAGCAGCACATAGACGAAAGGTATCATAACACCTTCCAGTGCCAAAAACTTATAGGTTGCCTGTTCCATGGATTACAGAGTCTTTATTACTAGTCGTAGAATATTCTGCTGATATCTCAATCTTCGAAATCGATTCAGGCATAGGGTGCCGGTATTTCGTCAGGAAGTGCACTCCTCAAGTATATAAATGATAGTATGGCCTCAGGATAGTTTTCTATCTATTTTTGATCAAACATCTTTTACCCATCCTTTGTTCATAAATATTTAACCGTGTCTCGAAGGGATTGTGAGCTATCATGTTTTTTAGTGCTTCTTTTTTTAAGCATCTCGAATGACCCTATTTCAAATAGATGATCATGTTTACCAGAGGCTATGCATATACCATCACATATACATTTGGCAATGGCAATCTGCTACCTATGGAACAGGGCAACCTATACGCTTTTGGCATTAATTCCATATTGCGCATGACCGGAAGTTCGGACATGATCTACGTGGATGGAACTGTTCATGTAGCTCCTAGCTTGTTTTATCAACTATATACCTTACATGTTATGTACGAAGGTGCTATGACACCTTTCGTCTACACGCTGCTTCCGGATAAAACAAGGGAATCATATATCAGGCTTTTTTTCATCAATCCCTTGGGTTAGTGAGCATGCACTTGAACCACACCAATGTTCACACAGTTGTGAGGCCCGGGATAACTGCCTTTTTGTAACGAGGATGACATACATCCGGTAAGGCAAAATTTCTATACTATGGCCTCTGAAAGTCCCATGCTCCTGGATTTTATGGAATATATGGATACGACACGGCTAAGCCACAATGCCACCCCATGGCATATATACAAAAAGGTATTTAAAACATAATTAATAAATTCAAAAATTTTTCTTATATAACGGTCCCCGCACCTATAAACAATTTGGAGGGGTTTCATTGTGCCTTAAAGAGAAAAGTAGCGCACCAAATGTTTATAATCTCATAAAATTTTTTAATAAATCTTCAGCATTTTAACAACCTTAAAATTATTCGGATCAACAGTGGATCTATGGTGTGGCGAAGACATTTAGAAATATGAACGAATTGATGAACAATTTAGCAGGAATGTATGAAAGAATGTTTGAAATTTTAAAAAAAATTTTTGAGATAATGTTTTATACGTATTTATAGCTAGATATTATAAAACAAAAATGAATATTTTTTTCAATTTATATTACTATAACAATTTTGATCAATTGAATATAAGTGCCCGGTTTTGAGTGTGTCAATTGATCAAATGTTTTTTTTAAAAAAATTTTGGAATAATGCTTACCACATAAAATATACGCGTATTAGACCAAAAAAAATGGACATTTTTCTACGGTTAACGCCATAAATGCAAGATTTCTACAAACTTTTAAGGAAGGGGACAAATATAATTGCCAAAATATATGGAATAAAAAAAAACATATGATTTGTAATTTATACGAATTTGATTCGAATTTCAATAATTTATTTTAAACTGACTGCTTCGGTTAAATTTTTCGAATTCATTTTTAACGCCTTCACATAAAATGCTGTTTAAAAAGAAATCTTCTTTTCCGCTAAGCAGCATCTGATGACCCTAAATGGAGGCGATGGGGGGGGGGGGTTTAATACACGGATACATCAGACCATACAATGAACAACAAAAAATTAATGTACATTTAATAATAGAAGCAAAGAGGTAAAAACAACTAATTGCTTTTTCGTATATTTTTCGATTGTTATTCATTCTGATTCGCATTAAAATGAAATCATTTAATAATTTTCCGCCGGTTCCTTATCGCTCCCCGTCTTCTCAGATTCCCCCCTCCCCTTCAAGTAGGAAATAACCCTCTTCTTCTGTATCTTTTTCTTTCCACTAGGAAATAAAGAATGGTTGAAGTAAATGGTATGAAAATGTCTTGGAGAGATCTACATTTTATAATATATATATGCGTGCCAAGTAAATTTTTTTAAAAATTTAAATTCAGATATGTCCAACGAGGAGATGGATTCCGCTGACCTGATTTCATCGAGCGTAACCGAATTTTTCCGCGATTTCTCATCCGATAACGAGAGTAAAAGAAACACCTTTTTTCTTCTCTTTATTTCTTCCATTCTCTTTTTTTTTGGATATTTGTTCAATTTATTTATCGATATTTTATTTGGAAAAATACACCTTTTTTTTCTAAAGGGGCCCTGGATTTCTGGAAAAAGATATCGGATCTGGGGTTGATGAAGCATTTCGTGAGGGTCATCAAAGACAGGTTGGATCATATGGAAGGTATCATATCCAAAAGTAGCGCCGCCGATCAATCGCAGACTAAATTGGAAGATTCCAGCGCCGATAATCGCAAAGATCCTCTAACCATGCTTAACGAGCCCGTTATATGTAAAACTTTTATCGATTAATTTTTTATTTTTTTGGTTAATATTGAAATTCGAAGCGAGTATTTTAACGGATCCAATGAAAGATTCCAATGATGAAAGGAAGGGAACAAGGAAAGAGTGACTTGCAGAAAAAAAAAATATCCTTAAATTTATATATTTTTTTAAAAAAAATTTTTTAATTATAAAACATTTCGAATAAAGGCGCCAAAAAGTTGAGTGTTTTGGTCAACAGCTTAGGATTGAACGCGACACTCAAGCGGATGTTTTATTATCACCGTAGAAACGTCGTGATCGAGCAAGACAAAAATAAGAGAGAACTCATTAGTATTGGAAAAAAATATATATATATTTATTTTTATAACGAATTTTTCCACTTTTCTTCTTCTACGCCGTTTAGGGACACTTTTACAGGGTTTTCCCTGGTAATCTTCAACCTTTCTGAGGTCCTGGGCAGCTATGGATCAAACCTAGCGTTTTCGCGTTCTTTTCTAACACTTTCACCCAGCGTGTTTTTTTGGATGCCCTCTGTTCTGAGCCCTGTATAATTTCTACAAGAAAACGCGATAACGAAAGGGATATTAGTTTATATATTTATTAAATCGTAAGGGCCACAAACGTGATCCTCGTATAAAACCCCCCCCCCCTGTTATTGACTTTTTACGCATTTAAAATAATAGGATAGCTGTGATTGCCTTAATATCTAGATTTCTTATCATCATTTTTTTGGAGGACTACCTAATTCTTTCCATTCCCATCTCATTGTGCCCTGCCATCTTTAATCTAATCTTAACAATCATCGAATTCCTTCATTTTCTTCCTGGTTAACTTTAGAGACCTGTAATCCGATCTTTTTATAGGCTCGGTCGTTCGCTTGAATTTTTCTAGCGAGATTAGCCATCGTCTTGCCCGAAGATTTAGAAAATTTTTTAGCTGGCAGATGGATGGGTGTTTCTAGCCCACCCTTCTCTCTTACCGTCTATCACCAATTCTTCCCTTCGCTATGTATATGTGACATTAAAACCGATACTTATCTTATTACCAGTTTAGTTTTTGCGATATTTCTCAAACAGAGAAGAATGTTTTGATGTCAAAATATATTGTCTTTGTGTCTTAGATACGAATATCCAAGATACTTGCAGAACCCTGGTTACTGTTTTATTGCAGATTTAATAAATTATTTAAAAAAATGAAAGATTTGAAGAGAAAACTGGAGGCGGAACAGACCAAGGGCGAAAGATTAAAAAAGAAAAACGCCTGTTTCATAGAATTGATCCAGCATCAAGATCAATTGCAAACTCTCACCGACGATCTGGAAGAAGCAGAAAACGGGAGGAAAGACGTCCCGTTGTCGCGCGACATTGGAAAAAAAACTCCCAACTCTAAACCTCCCTCCTCTAGCGATATAAATGTAAACAAAAAATTTTTTTTTATATTTTTTTTTGATCTTTTATAGGCTATATTAATTTTTCTCCATCTTTTTCTGTATATTTAGCAATCTGAGTCATACGGTAGCAAGAGTTCGATTAAAATCGAAATGATCAACAAGGATCTTAAGGAATCAGAATCGGAGGTTCTATCCGAAAATCAGGATTTGATCGATATATCCCGAGCGTTCTTTCCCGATTCCAGCTCTCCTCTCACTTGCCTCACCTCTTCCTACCAACCTCTTCCGACTCACTCAGCACGATCTCATACCCCGGTCACCGAAACCGAGCAACAGCCAACGACAATCGAATCCGATGACAATAAGATCGGTAACGACAATAATTTGGAAATCGTGGAATTTATGTCGCCAAACACCGTCGAGGAATATGCTCACTTCGTCAACTCGAACCGCGATTTGGATGACGAGAATAATTTGAGGCCCGAAGTTGATAGGACAAATCTTAAAGTGGCGGAATAATTTTTGTTTTTTTTAAAGTTAACCAGTACCCCTCCGCTTACCTTTGCTTCGATTTCTTAGGATTATAAAATACGGTAAAATTTATCTAATTTTGGCTCTCTCGATAAATTCTGGGCAATTCCCTAATTTTTGAATAAGATTCTGAGTATCACTTCAAATATTTCCTATTAACTGCTATCGGCCCTTGATAAATATGGTCAACTGTCTAAGTTAGGAACCCAGCGATGCCAAAATTAGACATGTTTTGCTGTAATATATATACTATATAATATTATTTTTTTAAATAAAAAATTTGCATATGTAAATATATATATATATATCCTTTTTGTATTAATTAATTCTTATTTTATTTTATTTCATTCTTTTGCATTCAACCAACTTGTCATTTTTTTTTTCTCGATTAATATAATTATTTATATTTTACAACATTTTTATTTTACACCCCAATTGTAAAAATACCCCTTTATGATATTATTGTTTAATATATAAGTGACCTGTTTTATAATTTTTTTTTTCTTTAAAAATGAATCTAAAGTTATGTGCAAAAATTTTATCTTACACCTTTATTTAAAAATAATTTTGGCGCGAATTTTTTTTGTTTAATAAAAATTTAAGCGAGGTTTGAAGATTAGGCGCGATAAATTTTTGACGAATACTATTTGAATGATTAATAAAAAACGTTTATTTAAATAGTTAGTTTTGTGAGTGAAAGAAATTTTTGAAGTTTTATACCCAATCATTTGTTAATAAACAGATGTTAGGAGCCTGTGTCCAAAATTTCGCTTTCCGCTATCTAGATTTAACGCGGTGGTTTTTTTGGTTTAAATTTTTCTTAATAAAATAGTTAGAACCGATAAGACCTAAACAAATTGATTCTTTTTATTGAGTCCTGTAAAAAAAATTTTTATTCGGTTATGTGATCATTTTATGAAACTGATAAAGCCGCCATTTAATATAGGTTGCGTTTTTGAGATCACAAAACACTTTGCAGAAATTTTAAATTCAAATTTAGACTTATATAAATATAATTTAGCTCACATTTAGCAATTTGATCCTGTTCGAAAGAGAACACAAACAACTAGCAATAATCTCCCATTGAGAAAATTAAAATGAAATCGAATAAAACTGACTGCAAAATTTCCCAGTAATTATCTAGGAATAAATGCCTATAAATTTCCCCCCCCACAGTGGCAACTCTTTTTGTCGGCTAATGTAGACCTAAAAGGTTCTCTGGGGTCTGAGTCTAGAATAAGGATCACGGTCTCCTCGATGGGGTGTAAAATCCACATAAAGGGTTGATGTCAGGAAGGGCATCCGATTGTAAAAACCTTGTTACAAAATTTGCTAATGATCAAATCACAGGGTAAACCTACAAATGAACAATAATATTTGCCGCAAAGGAAGTCGCTGTCGCTTTTAAAAAGGATGATAAGCCAGGTCATTCATCAAAATCCACAAAAAAAAAATTATTGTTAGAATCATTGAATAAAGGTTTTGGAATACTCACTTTAAGGGAAAATATTATGAGATATTAAAAAGAGAGAGATATGAAAGTAATGCAAGTGATGTGGTCTTGCACTGAGAATTTGTCGATAAAAGTTTTGGAATCTGTAGATAATCGTATTTATCTAAAGAAAAAGTTTTTATTCTATCTTTTTTTCATTTAAAATACATATATATATCAAAATTAAACATAATTTAATATAACTAAATGCCCAATTTACATATCACGATCTACAAATATTGCTTTAAACAGTAAACATTTAAATAGACATGTATATCAACGCTTTAGACAATAATAAATAAAGAAATATATTATAATATGACATTAATGTCTTTATAAACATTAAACTTTAAATTGAAATAAAACATCATTATTAATTACGTGTTACCAACATGTAACAGAAAGCATCCTTGTAAAAATATAACAGATTTTATAAATAGTTAACAGAGATTTAGTATAACATTGTATCGGAGACCTTAATTCAAGTTAGAATGATTAGGGTCTTTCAAAGCAAAAGTTGATATAACATTTAAGCACTAAGTTTTATATATTTATGTGGTGATCTTTTTTTTTTATATATATTGAATTACTTCCCACTTTGTTGATAGTTCGGAATATGGCTAGAGGAAACAACTTTTTTATCTATACTTAATGGCATCTATGAATGCCTGCACTAGTCCTATATCACTAGGACTTTATTTGGTCCTTTTCGAATTTGTGCTGACCCAGGGATCTATCACTCTAATAGGGTATAGAAGGAATATATATTATCATTTCTCAAGAGCTTATTTAGAACGAAGACTTACATGTGTTTTTTTTAATGATATGGAAGTTGTATTATAAAACAACATATGCAATTTATACATTGGTAAAGCTGAACTTAAAATTATTTCTGATGAACGATGATTCTAATACCAGTTGTATCGCTAATTTTTTTTGTCCACTCGAAGTAGCTCGCTAGTATTAAAAAAAACGTTAATTATTATCTAAAATGAATTTTTAAAAAAAGAAAAATTCTATCTAAAATTAGAAAAAATAGTAAATTCAACATCTAAATTTTTAAAAGAGAAAATTATGTCTATCATTAGTGTTGTTAAACGGCTCGTTTTGAGCCTATTTTCAAAAACGGAAGACTCAATGCTTCATCCAGAAAAATAGTACCCAAGACTGAAGATTTTGCTCACGGAAGGAACAGAGGTCTAGACATATATTCTCGAAATCCGGAGGCTTAGGCAATATTTTTCCGGTTAAAATATTTAGTTATCCGTGTTTAAAATCGGCTCAAACCGAGCCGCTTAACGACACTACCTATAATTATCGAAAACTAGTAAATCCACATCGAAAATCAATTTTTAAAAAAGAAAAATTCCATCCCAAAATTAGATAAAAACGAATAAATCCACATCTAAAATAAAAAAAAAATTCAGGGGGTGTTTCTTCAAAGTTCTAAAGGCGCGCGAACACATCGGCAAAGAGAGGGTTAAAAAAAATTAAACATATAGTGGGTGGGCCAATGGGGTTTAAAATATTTTTTAAAACGATAGGCGATTGGGTGAATTTAAAATTGGCCTTTTAAACAAAAAAAAAAATAGACCAATCAAATCATTTTGAAAACGATAACGCTGGCGTTAGGGTTCAAAGACTTATCTATTTCAGACCTATAATCCGCATCCCCTCCCTGCGCTACTCTTTATAATAGATTAAATGAGGGTAAGGGAGTATAATATACTTTTAGAATACTACCTCAGGTTTTGGCGGTAAAATATCTAAAATTTTCTTAACCCCCATAAATAAGGCTTGCTTTCATTTATATCTACAACTTCAATATGTATAATGAACCAATAGGGAGCGCACACATTATCTAGAATGGAACAGATGTTTTTTAACCACATGAACATAAATCTTTTGGTTGGGGAAAAATTGAGATGGATAAGGCATTAGTGATCACCCAAAATCTACTTTTATCGTGTAAACAAATTTTAATATCTAATGAAGTAAATATTTTTAAAAATTAATCGATTGTTAAACGTTATTTTTATCCAAAAAATATTGTTTTTCTAAATGACAATCGAATTTGAAGAAGAAGAAAATAAAATGGAACTGAATTTAAATTCGATATATTAGCAGATACATCCAATGGGTAACTGTATTTGTTCGCCATGCTCGTTTTGCAAAAGGGTCTTGACGAGTCTTCCCAACGAGTACAAAGTTATCAAACAGCTGTTAGGATTTCCTTTCGGAATTTCTTTAGGAATAGGTATCTTACTTATTCTCATCTTTTCATTTATGTTTGTTATGGTATATGATATTACAATTACAATTACTAAATGGATGGTAAAAAAATGAAATAAATTAGGATTCCATTATCTGGTGGTGGAGAACTTGAAATTAGAAGATTCCAGTAAATACCTATTGTCCGGAATAATATGCCTATCCCTAGGATTCGGGTACGCCCTCTCCGTGCAAGTCAGATGCATGGCCATTTTACTTGTCCCCGTCTTGTTCACTAAGGCAGGTCGAAGTGTTATAAGCGCGGTCATTATAGGCATGTTAATCGCAGGTTTAACAAAAAAATTTTTTATTTTTTCTAAGAAATATGGCTAACTTCAAATGTTCTATCTATAAACTCTATTGATCGCCCTTTAGATAATTTTTATATTGAACCATTGTAGGAATTATGAATTTATTAGATAAATTAGATAAAATTAAGTACTGTAGATGGGGGGGGGGGGTGGTGTTTCCTAAAAATGAATAATAAATTGCTTGTAAACTAGTTAATAATGATGGGCTAAGGGTCAGCTGTCCACACTTAGCCACTTATACTGAGTATGCTATTATTCAAAATAAACAAGGCCCAATCGGGAACATAGTATACAATGCCAGAGAATCAATCCGTTCGTTAACTTGCACTGTGTCTATGGGATACAATTTGACCAAGCAGATCATGGAACTCAAGTACAAGCCCATCGCTAACGTCTTGTCCGATATCATGGTAAATAAATATTTATAAATCTCTTTTCGAGCGGTTCTACAAGCGTAAAGCGATACTTTTTCGTTACTTTTAATGTAACTAAGGTGTCCAACAGCGTTACTTTTTATTAACAGCGCCTTCCCTAGACAAATTAGTAAAAATTCAAATTTAAATTTTTGTTCTAGGTTCAAGCTCCTAACCTCAAAGATATATCCAAAGAAATCAAAAAAAACTTTAGCATTCTCAACAAAGAAGTAAAATAAATTAATATGAAAATATAAAAATTAATTATAGATTTTTTTTAAATACGATTTTCTTACTTATTATATATGTGAATATCATAAATGTTAGCTATAAGAAGCTATTAGGATTAACTCAATTGCCAAAAAATATTTCCTAAGCCTCGTGATTTTTATAATATATATATAGATCCTTTGTTCCTTCTATTAGCAAAATCTTCAGGGGTTGGATAATATTTTTCTGGATGTAGCATTGAGTTAGCAGCCTTCTAACAACACTAGAAATTATGATAAAATAATAATTTGGGTTATGACAATATTTCTATTTGGGGGTTAAGAGTTTAAAAATAAATATAAAATATAATTTTCCAATATATTTATCATTCATAATTAATAAATTGCAAAAGATTTGCTGTTTAACTCAGTTCGCTATGGATAAAAACTTGCATTCTAGGTAAACCACCCCACCTAAATCTTTAAACAAATTTTAACTTAAAACAATAGAATCAGCCTAACAGAGATCCAATTTATCGCTCATAGATTTTCCCCATTCTCACTCTAGATCTTATTAAAATTTCTTCGTTTTTAGATAAATTTTGACACTGCAATGAAATAGTTTCATAATTTGTAAATTTATTTAACTTTAGAACCGACATTTTTCCGGGTTTTTTAAAACCATTTTGCTAACTCAGTCCGTTTCGTTACGGATAGTTGGGCCGGTTTCCTAGGCGGACCTGCGGGTCTCCGCTGTATTTTTCGGGGAAGACGTGTTATTTATAAGGTTCTTGAAAGTTTTTATTTTTTTTTCAAAATTGATTTTGAAGAGGAGATGGGCTTGTTTAAACCTTACATATATAATTTTTTTAAACGTCAGGTAGAAGACAACAAAGAGATAGAAGAATCTAGAAATCGCACGAACGAAGTTGACGGCAAATTAGAAGGTTGGGGTCGGGCGGCCATAATTGAAAAGAAATTCACGGAAAAAAGGACTAAAATCGCCACGAAAGTCGATCATAAGGGTTCTTTCGTAGAGTCTTTCTATGCTAAAAAACAAGCCTTTAGATGTCAGGGTATGATTTATTTAAGACTAATCGACTTTTTCCTAATTAAATTGTTTACTCGCCTCAAAGAAAAAATAGGGGAATTAGGCAGTGTTCTGGGCCCGAATTCGTGTTCAGATATCAAAAATTGTTTGGTCGGGCATTTTGAGACCGCGGACCAAACAGAGACCATGGGCAACCCATCAAATTCGGAATAATATGGACCTGGGGTGGATTCGAACCTCTTTTTTTACCGTTATTTTCCGTTAAATAGAGTTTAAAATTTCTGAACCTGGATTCAGGTCCAGAACCCTAGAATTTAGTTCAGCGAACTAAAAATGTTTTTATTATAGTGTCATAAAAGTTTTTACGAGGTAAAGGCACGGAAACAGCGAAGAATTGAGATTAAGAGAAGCATTTTAAAACTATTCCAATTATTTGGAACCGGAAATTGGAAAATTCGTTTTTAAAAAAATTTGAATGTCTTATATCCATTATTTTATTCTCCCAAAAGATATATTCAATTTCGCGGCAGATAGGTGCCAAACGGTGTTCAAAGACATGGAAAAAAAATGCTTCAAAAAAATCGGCATCTTAGGAGTCACTTCCGTCATATGTTTGGCCTTCCGCGTCCGTAAAATCTGCAATCTGTTAAAACGTAATTAAATTAATTTTTTTTTTATAATTTAAAATAAATTTGACAAGCTCCCGATTTAGATGCCACCAAAATAAAAAATGGCGAAATTTTCTTAAATTTATTTAATTAATCATAAAAAATCAATCATAAATATTGTTAGTGGCTGAAAGTTCTAATAATTGGCGCCAAAACTTTCACGAACGAGAAGGGTGGGGGGGGGGATATAATAGATAATTTAATAGGAAAGCCCTTTTTAATCTAATTGTTTTTTTTTGGTCTAATCATTTCGCGAAATTCTATCATCTGAAGTGATGCCAACCACTAGCAAAAATGAGAGCTGCGAATCCTCCGACGACGCTGTGAATCCCGGATTCGGGGAAGGGTTTGTCGAAGCCGAAAAAGCCGCCCAAGATTTCGACAAAAATTTCGATGTCGACATGAAATATCAAGTTAACCCTATCTCAAATCCCCTTTTTATTTTTTTTAAATCCTATCATTAGTCACGTGACAAGGGATCGAAGACTGGCTGTTAGCGGCCATGGCTTCCCCTACTCCTATCTCTTCGTTTGTCCTTTACACTATAACCCTAGTATTTACGGGTGATAAGGTTAGCCATATTTTATTTTGGGAGTTATAACTAGTACAGTTAGTTTGCTAATACGATACCTTTTTTGAGGCAAATGTATCGATTTCTCGTTACATGTGTGAAGGATAGTGTTGTTTAACGGCTTGACTAGAAAAATATACGGCTCACTCCAATATTTTAAGCCAAAAAATATCAATGCACAAAGCCTCGATATTTCGTTAATAGATGTTCATATCCTTTCTTAGCAAAATCTTCAGTCTAGTGCAATATTTATTGGCACTAATATTGGATGTTTCAGTTTTTTTAAAAATGGAGCCATTGGGGAGGGTGTATTAGCCCGCATTAAGTGTTTCAAACGCCGCGTTGCGAGTGAAAGTAACGCGTTTTAAATGGCCTGGTACACAAATTGGTAAAATTACCGTTTTGGCGTTTAGCAACCATTCTAAAAAATTACGCAAGTAGGTTTTGCTAATTCAATACTTTTCTGTATTCTTCGCTTTGTAATATTGCATAAAAATGTAATATAAATAAACTTACTTTTGAGAATCCTAAAAATGGAATATTCTTTTCTTTCTTTCTTTTTTTTCTTTCTTTCATTTTTTCTTTCTTTCGAAGAATTAAAAGAAATAAGAAGGCATACGATAATATAATTTTTATAACTTATTTAAAATAAAAGGAATATTCAGAAAATTCAAAGAAATAAGAAAGCAGACGATAATTATAATTTTAAAAGACAAATCCCTTTTTTTTTTGTTTTAGAACTTTTTTAAAATTTTGAATAGGCGGATATTAATAAAAAGACAACCTCAAATTTAAACGAGGGACGCGTTATGTTTTTCTCTTCTCTTCTCTTCTCTTCTCTTCTCTTCTCTTCTTCTTCTCTTCTTCTTCTCTCTCTTCTCTTCTCTTCTTCTTCTTCTCTCTCTCTCTTCTTCTTCTTCTCTTCTTCTCTCTTCTCTTCTCTTCTCTTCTCTTCTCTTCTCTTCTCTTCTCTTCTCTTCTCTTCTCTTCTCTCTCTTCTCTCTACTTTCTATGACTACGAATTGTTTAAATAATTGATATTAAAAAAAATAAGAGATTAAAGCCCGAAACCATTCATTCAATTAAATATATATCGATTACAAATCAGCTGTTGACAAGCAATTTTGGATTTTCTATCTAAATAATTTGTGACAGTTTCTTTTTTTTAAAAAAAAATTATCAATCACATTTATTTTGTAAAAATTTATTTACAAATACTCGAAACCAAGATGGCGTTATCACCAGCTGTTTTGTATTCCACGTCCCTTCAAAACGCATTTTACTGGATCAATCGATCACATGAAATCTCTAGAAAAGTATTATTATGACACGTGATTGATCAGAGTCTGATTCAATTCTAGAAATTTCTTTCTTAGAATTTAACGATTTCAATGATTCTTTGTTTTTTTTAAAGTTAGTTTCTGAGGAGGAGCCTTTAGATCTGAAGACGGCGGAGGACGTTTCCGCTCAAATCGAATACGAGTTCAAGATCAGGCAAATGTGGTTCGAAATAATCGCCACGCTTTTGCAGAGAATCATGGCCTTGCTGATTTTAATCATCATTAAAGGGTTTTGATTTAAATCAACTTATTTCTTTTAATTTTTTTTATAAAAACAAAAATGATTGGTCCTGGAAAATCTGAGATTAACCTGCCAGTGCTGGATCAAGCTAAAATAATTTCTTAAATTTAATAAAAATGAAAGTGATAATAAAAATTTCCAAATATATTTTAGGAATTTAAGATGAACGTGATGTTAAAAAATTTCGCGACAAAATTGGCAAAATCACATACCTTTCCATAATAATAAAATATTTTTTAAAAAAACAGAAAAAAACAACATTTGTTTTTTTTCATTTATTTTTTTTCTTCTTCAAATAAACCGGCTTGAATAAACTATTTAATTTCGATCAAACATTTTATATCAAAATAATATCCGCGAAGTGCTTTCGATTATACCAACGGGTATTTAAGCGATTTCCGCTTTGACAACAACTACGTGACGAGTTACTTCAAGAAGATAGATGAAAGACGTTACTTAGCCGGCAAATCCAATTTAGATATCCGGAAATCTAGGAAGGCCCTAAAGTACGCGGATCTCGTCTACCCATGGAGTCCCCATATTTCCCAAAGCGAGAAAAAAGGGGTATTTTCGGCATCGATCAAAATATTTTTGGATATCGTGACAGCTGTCATACTCATCCTGTTCGATAGGTTATTTTACGAGATTTTGAGCATAGTCAAGGAACACAGCACGATGACCGTCACTCAAAAAGGTTTCGCTAGTTTTGAAGATGAATAATTTTGGGGTCTTCCTATAGAAGTTGAATGCCTAATGATAAAGAATCAGATTACTTATATTAAGATAGAAAGAAAGAAAGAAAGAAAGAAAGAAAGAAAGAAAGAAAGAAAGAAAGAAAGAAAGAAAGAAAGAAAGAAAGAAAGAAAGAAAGAAAGAAAGAAAGAAAGAAAGAAAGAAAGAAAGAAAGAAGTAAACCAATCGACCAATATAAAACATTTATTTCGTTTATTTAGGCGCATAGCATCCTTTATAGTTAGTTGGATTGGGGAATATTAGTTTTTTTTTTTAAAAAATCCACACCACGTGATTAAAAAAAACTGTACATCTTCCTTAGAATATCTAATTTTAAATCTAGGAGCTCACAAGATATTGTTCCAAGTCTACGGGAACAGCATATTGGCACATATTTTCCGAAAACTCTTCAAAGGGATTAAGTCGGATCATACGTTAGATTCCTACACGAGTAATCTAGGTAATTACTTTCGTTAATTTATTTGATAAATAATATATTTTGTAATTATAATTTCGAAAAAATATAAAATAGAGTGTCTACCGACTGCCAGAAAATTAGAAACGCGATTTATAATCCGTATAATTCTGATGAACGTTTTTGCTTTGATCATGCTGTATGTGCAGGCTTACGCCCTGAGAACGAGAAGGATCATCTGTTCATTCTTTTATCCAAAAGTATCGTCTTTAATATAAATTGTATCGTTTTTTCTCTCCCCCCCCCCCTTCTTGCTCTGTAAAATGGAGAGGAAAATATATTAATTTTAGAGGCCCTATTCTTTTTTCTTTTTAAAAAAAGCTGAAGGTTATAAATAAAATATAAATGACACATGACTATCAATAAGGGTTCATTTTTTCCTCAAAATTCTCTCTATCATTAATATCATAATTTTTAAAATTTCAAAATTTAAATTATGATTTGAAAATTTACACAAAATTGTCTAATTTTTGGTTTACCGGCTACCATCCATTTTTGTGGTTGTCAGTTATAACCTGACAAATTTAGGAAAAAAGGGGGAACCAATAGAAATAGAGAATCGGGTTTTATCGATCTTGAAATTTCTTTATTTCCGGTATATAGTTACACGATATTTTTAATACGATACATTTCAAAAAAATGAGATATTTTTTGAAAAATATTATATGATTTGTGTGGGGAGATTTTATGTAAATTTTTTTTTTATTTGTAGTGTATTTCTTGAAATATCAAAAATGTAAGAAATGTGTTGAGTCGGGATGTGGTATAATCAATATGGTAGACCTTGAGACCCTGACAGGGGAGGGAGATGTCCATTTTTATTAAAAATATCACCCAATATTTTTTAAAAACAGTGTAATTTTATTTATTTATGAAAATAAATACTTGGAGTTTATTGATAATCTAAAACGAACGCGTCCAAACTAACCGCGTTTCGCCTTCATCAACGATAACTACATTAAAAAAATGTTGACGAACGCGTTCATTCAGTTTCAGAAAATCTTTTTTTATTTTTATTCTTTTTGATAAAAAAAAAGGTTTATTTTCTAATCAGCTGTTTCAATTATGCATTGGAATCTTTTTTTTTTATAACCAGCCATTATTTCTGTCCTATCATAAAAGTTTACTAATTTGAATATCATTATTAGGTTATCGTAAGCATGGATGTTGTTATTTCGTCATCATCATCATCCGATTCTGAAAATTCGGACTCAGACAAATTAACATTTCCATAGCCTAAATATAATAATTATAAATTTTACAGTAATATTATATATTCAATCAACTAGTTTTATTCCTTACTAAATGCAAAAATGTGTTCTAAAAAGGAATCATATCAGTTCTCAAAATATTTCAAGTTTTGATTTAAAAGAGATATACTTGAAATGTAATTTGCATTATTTTGTATAATATGACTATAAGTTGTATCGTCAAACGGCTAAATTTTATACAGAAAAATATTAGCAAAGCCTAAAGATTTTCTTCAAAGATGGCACATGGGATCGAACATCTATTGGCGAAATTTCGTCGCTTAAGCAATATTCCTGGCTTTAATGTTGAATTAACCGTTTAACAACACTAACTATAAGTATCCTGTTGATATAATTTAGCTTAGATTAATCGTGATAATTTACGATTATTATAATAGATACATAAAGTAAAAAAAAAAATCGTTACGGAGATATAAAATAGTTAATATCTTTTTATAAATTTATTCATTTTTTAAGCCTAATTATTTGAAATTTCGTTAGGGCTTTGTATTGTAATAGTCGAACAATAGCACATCAAAATTATATATATTTTTATAAATAATTAAATTTTGTATGATATATTATATATAAAAGTTTTTCTATATAATTAAAAGAAGAGAAAATTAAAAAGTTAAAAATAATATAATTTAGGTTTAATTTTGGTGGGTGGGGCTTAATGATCCATGTATAGTTAGTTATATACAGTTGGATCCGACAAATTTCGATTCATATTCTTTATCGTGGCGTTAGGGTAGAAACCTTCTTTAAAGATCACCCGTGATCTATTGTTTTTTTAATAATTTTAGGGGCTCAGGGTCCAAATGATCCACTGGCAAAGGATTATTATATTTTGCCTTTGGCGTTTTCAGCTTTCATGTTGGAAGTTGAGACAGAAAAAAAGGATCTGACATGTTTATAATCCCCAAAGCCAGGAAATATACATTTTGAACGAACACGTGATATACTTTTATAATAATTATTGATAAAATATAAGAGATTTATTATAAGTAAAAAAATTCATAAAGTAGAATTTATATTCTAGTGTCGTGTGCAACCTTTTTTTTAGACGGATATTTTAATTCTCATTTACATTTGTATGTATGCTGTTATTTTTGAAGTTTGTAATATCGTTTCTTTAAATTTGTAATGCATACCATTTTCAAAGTTTATACGAATTCATTAATGAGAATCTACGCATCTTAGTTAGGAATGTCGTTAGGGCCATAAAAGCTATAGCCTTTGAATAATTAATATTATTTTTACTTCATTAATGTTTATAAAAATGTTAACAAAATTTGGTCCGCTAGTGGGCGCTAAATGTTAAAAAGTGATTCAAATATTTGTTTGAGGAAAAAATAAACTAATTTATTGGAAATTAACACAGGATCTATACACGAGGAAAGTTTAAAAATAAAATTAAAGATTTTAAGATTCTTTGAAAATTTAACCTAATACTAATAAACCAGAATTTGAAAAAAAAAATCTTAAATATTTAATTCAAAAATGTGTATTTTGTTTTTTAAAAAAAGAATAGAGAATTTTAGATCAAATTTTATCTAAAAATACCATAATCTTGTTTTAATAATATTCTCAAATTATGAACCAATTCAATATTCCCAAAATCTTTTACTATGCCCTGAGGTCTTAAAGAGAGCGGCAAATGCAGAGATTTGCTAGGTTCTCCTGAAATTCAAATCAAGAGTCTCTTTGAAAATATATTGAACATTAAATTTTCGTACTCATCCTGGCTGAGGACCACACTCCAAGGCAAGTCAGGTGGCATCGGTTTCCGATCCCCGTTACAACTTTCTCTTTCAGCCAATATCCCTTCTAGCTGCTCTAGTTAGCATCAATAATGTATCCAATTCTATAGATCCTTACCTATCTCAAGCCCTTACATTATGGGATAACAACTACTTGACCACCTCCTGCCTTCAACCTCCAGCATTCAAAAAAAAAACTAGAATGCACCTTTGATAGCCTGTTTCGTTAAATACCTCATTTTGAACAGCAGGTACTTCGAGGAAAACCCAAATAATATAATATTAAATGCAAACTCTGGCTCTGAATAGTTGTAAGCCATCCCTAGTTCCAATCTCGTCCTCCTCATGAAAGATGAACAAATATATCTATAGCTCTTGACCTTGGCTATAAGGCAGTTGTACCCTCCATTTATGTCAAACATGGCCAGTCCTTCGAATGGAATGCCCGCCCCCACCTTGCACTGAAAGTTTTCACATGGGTGACAACCGCGCCATAATTAACGGCACTCTCCTAGCCGCCCCTCAAAAAAATAATATCCCGTCCACCCTTGAACCAATGGGCTTTCAAAGGATTTTTGCCCTGATGGTATATCACGTGTACCCTGGACGGATGGTCCCACTGACCTCTACATCTGTATCGATTTCGCAGCTAAGACTGACTTTCCATTCTTTTGCCATCAAAAAGGCAAAAGTCCTTAGGAAAAAATAAATACGCGGGTCTAACAAACAGAATCTTCATAACACTAGTTGCCAACCCTTAGGCATGTTCGGAATTGGGGACCTAAGTTTTATCGAAACCCGGAGACAAAGAAAGGAGACAGATTACAGGCGGCCCCAATGAAGAATTCTAGCTTCGTCAGCAAATTTTACTCGAAATCTACCGATCCAATTTCCTAAACATTCGCTCCTCTCTAGAGTGATATGCACACATTTTTATTTTAGTTCTTTTTATTTTATGTTTCTTGTATAAATATTCAGTTTTTTTATATTTAATTTATTTTATTTGGATATCGATTATAATTGTATTTTATTAAAAACGTTTTTTTTTTTAAATAAAAATTTTTTTTAAAAAAAATAAAATTTGTATTTTTTTTATGAAGATTAAAATAACAAATTTTAAAAATAATAAAATAAAATTTTGATTTTCTTCCCGGTTAAGATTTTAGCTAAAACAATGATGTAAGCAACGAAATTTGGCAAATAGATGGCGGACCATTTCTGCCAGCTGTGAATCTTTAGGCTCACGTGATGTTACAATGGTTATAATCATAATCGGGCCGGTTTTTAAAATCGATCCTAATCGGGTCTTTTAACAACACCACTGCTCACAACACCGAATTGTGATGAAAAAACTTGCACTAATTGCTGGCAGCTGATTGCACAATTATTAATTATTTGATTGGGCAAATTGGTAAAGCGTATTTTTTTTGGCTTATATAAAAACGCTGACTTTAACGCAGCGTCATACGCGTCTCTATCAATTTGTAAGGAGATTATAAGAACGGTGAAATTACGAAGCCACCTATTGGCTGCTAATTTTGATTTGAAAATAATATATATTGTTTTTTATTGGTTGACCTTTTGAGAACATTAGTATGGCGCTCATACGAATGGCAGAGTTTTATATAATAACGCTACTGCGCAAAATCCTATAAGTTATGACAATTTAGAATTTTTCAATAGTTAACCCTTTACCACATGAAGTTTGCAATAAGTTGGAAAAAATTCTCAGGTATTCCCTTTGACATATTAATCAATAATTGATTCAAAAAATTATTTTTCTATTTTTATTTTGACAAATAATAATGTATGATATGCATATAAGTCACAAATTGTATTTAACGAACAATTTATTTCATTTTATATACTGGTAATGAAATAAAATAAAACAGTTTTTTATTTGCATGGAAACATAGTGTGCATATTAGCATTTCGATCATTTTACATGTGTAAAACGCCTTTGCATAGGGGATTTTTGCACCTTTCACGATTATTCGTCTATTTTCCTGCTCAGAATATAGTTCAAAATCATAGGCATATTCTGATACACCGCATGAAAACGAAGAATTTAAAGCCCCATTTGTGAGGCTTCATTGGTATATATATATTGTTTTAAATGTATACGAGTTTTATTTGAGCAAATTAGCTCATCGATTGGTAGGCATTCCTCTTTTAAGAATTGTACGA